GAGCTTCTTGAGGTATACAAGCTCCTTTTAAGTACTTCACTGTCAATGGTCTTGAGTTTTACTCTTCTCTAGTAGTTTTCTTTCTCTTGGGAGATATCTCCTTTGGGTATAAGTTGAGCGTGTGCTTCAAATTTTTCAGTATCATTATACTCTTATGAGAACACTGTGTGGTTTCCCCATTGTCCAAAACATCATTATGCAGCATATGACTGAATACACTTGAAGCTGAGTTACAGCATCATTCCTTAGAGGGACACAGCCTCTTATTCTGTTGAAAGTCCTTGGATCTATGAATTGACTTAATCTAGGAAAACAAGAAGTTAGGACTCTGCCATGATGGAGAGTTTGTTTGTCCATCCAGCCTAGTGGTTTCCCTTTATTGAACTAGGTAGTATGTTGGTAGGCTGCCCATGTTTTAATTGATAAGGTGACTATGAACTGTTCGTCTTTCCTTTGGAACCTTAGGGCTCAGAATACTCTGGTTGACACATCATTCCTGCAGCTCATTATGAAAAATGCACTTCCTTTGTATCTGCAGTGCACTGACATACGGTCACTGCTACTCTGGGAGCAAATTACATTCTTTAGGATCAGGCAGCCCATCTGTGTCCCCTGAGTAATTTTCATGAATGTTTGTGTGAAGGTCGCACATGATAATTCCATTCTAATGTTCCTATTGCTCTAAGTATTTGGTACACTTTCTGTACATTATGTGAACAAAATTTAGGTATACTGACTCCTGGAGTATTAAGTCTTACTGCAGTACGTTTCAGTCAAACAAGTAAAATTATTGATGTACTTTCAAATGCCCGAGCTAGCATAAAAAATCCAGGTATCTGGTAAGTTCACCCATAATAAATATTTGGCATGCTTCATTGTGCTTTTTGCTCTTCCACAATCCAAAATTCTTAGGATCTATATCCTGCACACCCCTGTGGGTCCCTGCCAATATAAACTATGACAACATTGCAAATATTCTGTAATAGAAACTTTTGCCTTCCAATTGAGACTTAGACCCGACACACAGGAACATGTTGAGATAGGATTTTAGTCTGTGTGTAGGCCCATTAGTTGCATGTCGTGAAGAGTCTAGGAATCCTCTAGCAGGGTAAGTTTCTCACCTGAGGTCATTACAGGGTCTCAAGCTCAATTCCTCAGACAGGAGAGCTCTAGGCTCTTTCACTGGCAAAGGAGGCTCAGAACCACCCAGGTCCTGCTGGAATTCCTCATTTCAAATCCCCACATTTTTTCCTTTTCTGTTAGTGACTTAACACATCCCACTAGAGTGTCAGGAAATGAATGTGCTTAACTCTCATTGTGATTCTGCACTGCCCACATCTTTTGATCTTCAGTGAGGTTGGTGCTGTGGTAAAGCAAAGAAGAGATTCTTTCAGGTCCATCATGATAAGCTTGTGATCTGAGAAAGTGGGGTCTTGGACATCATCATCAGTAGAGTTAAATCCAGCTGCCCCACCCCCCAGTCCTTGAGGCACTTATGGACATCATCCCAGTAGTCACTTGGTCCCCCTGCACACTTGTAACACTGGGGCACTTCATCACAATCAACAGTGAGTGGTAATTTATGTAATTGTGATGCTACTCTGTGCTCATTCCCCATTGGGCGGGAGTTCACCAGTGTGTCTCAGGCCACGCACATGTGCACACCAATCCCAGATGCTTATTTGCCTGTCTCTCTCTCCCTCTCTCTCTCTCTCAAAGAATCAGTCCTGGTACCAGATGCTGTATCTGTCAAGATCCAGTCCAGAACAGAGAAAACCCACCAAGAGACATTACAATAGGAAGTTTTTGAAAAGGTATTGGAGGACTGAAATGATTAGAAGAGAACACTGAGGTACAGGAGGTGGGATTTCTCAAAAGGAGCTAGCTACTTCTCCAAGAAAGGGGAAGAGGTTGGGGTTATGGTAACCTAGATGCTTTTATAATGGGCCTCAGAGATCTGGACCTGAGATGAGGATAGGTGGTGCTGGTCATTTGGGAACAAAGGAAAGGTGCAACTGATAGCTGGACCTCTTAGAAAAGGATGCTGAGGTAGTGGTGGTACCATAGGGGCTTGGGAAAAGGTCCTCCAAAAGTGAGGACTCAGATCTGAGGGAGGGTGCTCCCAACTTGCACTTGGCATCAAGGCTCTTTGTGTCATGGTCTGATAGAGCTGGTAGTGGAACATCTGAGGAAGGGACACTGTCAGGCTGTGTTGGTTTCCCAGGGTCCTGGAATGTCCTAGATCTCAAGACTTCTGAGCAGGGAGCACTGTCTGCTGGCTCTTGTACCTTGGAAGGGACTTGATGAAGCTTTCTCTGTTTCTGTATCAACCAAATGTCACCACCAGAGCAAAGAGCCATGGCTGTGGTATGCAGACAGTACCCACGCCCCCAAAAGTAGCATTCCTAAAAGTTTTTGCCTTTTTTTTTCTTTTTTTAGTGCTCTTCTTGGTAAAACTCTATAGGAATCCTATTCACAATGAGGAAACATAATGTGCGGAATGTCCTGTGAAGGTTAACAGTCCTGCCATAAACTTAATTTTGTAGTTCAGAACTTTGATGGGGAGCATAAGAACTCTTAGTTTTTTTGGTGTCAAAACAAAGTTAAACACACTGGTGATATCAATGCAATTGACTGATATCTTCTACTCTATTGTGTTTCATTTACTGAAATCTTCCTGAGTTGATTTCATGACCTAGGAAGGTTTGTGACCCTTGTTTGAGAAATGTTGAAATAGGTCATTTGTAAAAGGAGACATGCCACAATGGGCATCTTGAGGAGTCTGAAGTAGCTCTTTGAAGTTGACAAAAGAGTTAATGATTGAGGCAGAAGGAGAATCTCTTGGTGTTTGGAGGTTTAGTCATGTCAGCAGAAGGACTGTGCAGTGGACACCACTTCATGTAATTTGTGGGAATGCAGCATTCCTTATTGCTGATGGCAAAGACTTGCCTATCATAAACATTCCTCACCATAAACTTTTCTATAAACCTTGTATTTTTGACAGTTGTTAGGATGTTGTTATCTTCTCTCTGAGTATTTTTCATAATCCTATCCCACTACCCATTTCCATATTATTATCTAAAACTCTAAGGATATGATTTATTATCTAAAACTCCAAGGATATGATGAAGAGAAAGATGGAAAGGACATCTGGTGAATGGAGTGCATCTTTCTCAGAAATGCTTTGTGTCAGAGGTATTGTCTAGTGACAGTGGCTTCCTGTGTGGAATTCATTAGCCACTGATTAGTTTTGGAATACTACCTAGATGGGTGCATGGTTTTGTTGACTTTCAATTACAAGAGTATTGCTCATGATTTGTGCTGCTGATCCCAGTTAATCCTTACTTAAGACATTTAAGCCCACAGTAGGTGGTAATAATGTGGCTCTAAGTTTGTTTTAACTTTGATCTCAAAGACAAGGCAGATTATTAATTTAGCATTTAGATGAAAGTCAGTAAATGACCCAGATTAGCTTTTTCCTGAGAGGAGGTTTGTTTCCAATAGTAGTGAGGTTTTCAAGTCCACTCATTGTGGTCTTATGAGCTTTTTAATGAACTCTAGGCTGAATCTTCTTGATCAGCATTCTTTGGAAAGTTGACATTGAATAGGATCGATCCAGGTAACTCAGCAGCCATTGGAAAACTAGAATTGAGTTCATATTGACATGACCACAGTGAGCCCCTCGGGATTTAGAACATGAGGCTGGTGGGCTGTTTGGGTTCTCAAGAAGGCTATGTCTGCAAGCTATGGTTGGAGACAGCTGGACTGTATGCCCTGCCCCTAATAACTTACCTCAACCCATTACCTCATTCGTTTCCCTTCTTTTTTTTTTTAATATCGTCAATTGGAGGAGATCGACCACTACTTTTGAGCCCTTTAAGTGGGTCTTTTGGCTGTAAACTTAGCATTGGGACTACATAAGATTTCTGGAGTGGGGTTGGGTGGGGGAAGAGCGAAAGCAAACTGCATGAATAAAGTAACCACGAATGATGGATTTTTCTGGGTCATTCACATGTTTGCTGACAGTGTGAAGTGCCCGTAGGTTTTTGGGTAACAGAGGAATTTGTGTAAGATATATCTTTTCAAACTGGAAAACTTATTGTTATAATTTTACATATTTAAAGAAGAGTGTATAGTGCTGGGGATTCGCCTAGCATGTGCAGGTATTGGGTTCCTTTCCCAGTATCATAACAGAAACCATCTGCCTAGTATGTAATCTGATATCCAGGTTTGACAATTATCTGCCTATGTCAAATCTTACCTATTTTTCTGGGAGCGTACACACACACACACACACACACACACACACACACACACACACACGTCTATGTGTGTGTGTATTTATATTAGAATATGCAAATCCCATGCATGTTATTGCTTCAAATCTGGTCCCAATTCAAGAATCACTTTAGCCTCCCTTTCGTCTTTTTGTCTCCCATCTTTCCTGTTCCACTGACTCCAATCCAGCCCTTTTTATGTTTCACTTTCAGTACTGCAGCTCTCATGGTCCAACTCCACCAGGATACAGATCCATAAAGATCAGCCCAGCACTCTGAACAGCTCAGAGGGAGGAGCCTTACCAGCAGTTCCTCATGCTCTTGCCTTGTTCTTTTTCTCTGGACAGGTGGCTCCTTAATGACAGATCCTTAATGACAGATCCATAATGGCTGTGGTTGAGACTCTGATGCACATCAGGGTCACTTTTCTACCGCTCTGGCTTGGGATATTTCTGTCCATTCCTGGCCTTTCCCAGGCCAGTCCCTCCCAGCATTTCACCTCCCCAGAAGTGGTGATCCCCTTGAAGGTTATCAGCAGGGACAAAAGTGCAGAGGCTCTGGGTTGGCTCTCCTATAGTCTGCGGTTTGGAGGCCAAAGACATGTTGTCCACATGAAGGCCAAGAAGCTGTTAGTTTCTCCACACCTCCCAGTGTTCACTTACACAGAGCAGCATGTCCTCCATCAGGATCAGCCCTTTGTCCAGGATGACTGCTACTATCATGGTTTTGTGGAAGGGATCTCTGAGTCCCTGGTTGCCCTCAGCACCTGTTCCGGGGGCTTTCAAGGAATGCTACAGATAAATGAACTTGCTTATGAAATTAAGCCAATAAAGCTTTCTGTTACATTTGAACACTTGTTATATAAGATAGACACTAATGAGACACAGTTCCCATCTATGAGATGTGGGTTAACAGAAGAGAAAATAGCACGTCAATTGGAATTGCAAATGTCACATAATTTCACTCTGAAACAAAGTTCTTATTTGGGGTGGTGGATCCACTCACGTTTTCTTGAGATAGCAGTGGTTGTGGACTATCATAGATATGTTTTCTTGGAAAGGAATGTGACAACGATAAAGTTGAACATAATTGATATTATCAATGTAGTGGATTCTATATATCAGGCCTTAGAAATTGACCTAGTTTTGACTGGGTTGGAGGTCTGGACTACAGATAATCCAATTAATACCACTGATATCTTAGATTATGTTTTGGACTACTTTTGTACTTGGAAGCAAAATAACCTTGCTAGACGTCTGCATCATGATATTGTACATCTGTTTTTGAAAGAATATCGTGGTGCCGGGAAACTTGGTGTCGCCTATGTTGGAGGAGCATGCCGTCCTCTTTATAACTGTGGAGTTGAACTGATTTCAGGCAACCAACCTTCCAATTTTGCAATTGCTATGAGCCATGAGATTGGTCATAATTTGGGTATGTGGCATGATGAACGATATTGTGGATGTGGATCCAGGGCATGCGTAATGAATAAGTACTACACTTATTCATTTAGATTTAGCAATTGCAGTTATGCCGATTATTGGAACAATCTCCGGAATACATGTATTTATCCTGTTGCACATGATTCGGATGTCTTTAAGATTAAATACTGTGGGAACGAAGTAGTTGATGCAGGAGAAGAGTGTGATTGTGGATCTTCCCAGCAGTGTGCAAGAAATCCCTGTTGTCATTCTAATTGCACTTTCAGTCCTGGATCATCTTGTTCTTCTGGGCTTTGTTGCAAAGACTGTAAATTTAGGCCACCAGGGACTTTATGTAGACATCCAGCCAGTAAATGTGACCTTCCAGAGTGGTGCAATGGGACATCCCATGAATGCCCAGATGATGTATATGTGCAGGATGGAAGCCCTTGTAGTGACAATGCCTACTGCTATAAAAAGATATGTAATACCCATGATTTACAGTGTAAAGAGATTTTTGGCAGAGATGCAAGGAGTGCATCTCAGAGTTGCTACAATAAAATCAACACCCAAGGAAATCGTTTTGGGCACTGTGATATTGTAGGCACAAGATATATCAAATGTTCGGAACCTGATATCATGTGTGGAAGGGTTCAGTGTGAAAATGTGAAAAAAATTCCCACTCTCCAAGCACATTTTACAGTGCATCAGCTTAACTTCAATCAAAACACTTGCTGGGGCACTGATTATCATTTAGGGATGTCCATACCTGATATTGGTCAAGTTAAAGAAGGCACCTCATGTGCTCCAGGAAAGATCTGCATCAGTAAGAAGTGTGTCAGTATGGTTCAGCCGACCGAAATCTGTCAGCCTGAGACCTGCAACATGAGGGGGGTCTGCAATAACAAACATCACTGTCACTGCAACCATGAATGGTCACCTCCCAACTGTAGTAACAAAGGCTATGGAGGTAGTGAAGATAGTGGTCCACCTCCTATGGATGTGACTAGAACTACCACTGCAAATGTGCCTGGACATGCAACTGCAACTACCACAGGAAATGCGCCTGGGCCGGACACTGGAAGTGCTACCGGAATTGTGCCAGGAAGAACAACTGGAAACACCATGGAATATACGCCTGATATTGGACAAACGACTGAAAGGACTAAAAATACTGCTGGAAATGGGCCTGGAGGAGCGACTGGAAATAACACTGGAAATGCTCCTGAAGGAACGACTGGTTATGTCACTGGAAGTGCGTTGAAAAAGGAAAAATCATGGTTATTATGGCTCCTTATCTTGCTTCTTTTTATTTTATGTTTAGTCTCTTTGAATTATTTAGCATTGAAAAAGAAACAGAAAACTATTGGTCAACCAAAACCTGAGGAGAAGAAAGTGGAAGGAAAGGAAGAAGTCATACCTAATTAAAATGATCTCTAATTTTTAACAGTGGAGAAAAACAGGGCATGTCTTTCTCCACAGAAATTTAAAGGTCGGTCATTGGAGGATCATAAGCTGTAAGTATTACAGCAAAGGATTCCCACCATGTTCTTACTTATTCTTTTGTGTTTTAAACATTAAAGGTTCATTTCCCTCCCCCAAATTGTCCTTTCTTTCTCCCCCCCACACACGCACACAGGTGTGGGGATACCAGGGATTGAACCCAGGTCTCAGCACTGAGCCACATCTCCAGCCCATTTTATTTTTATCGAGAGACAGGGTCTCACCAAGTTGCTTAGAGCCTCACTAAGTTGCTGAAGCTGGCTTTGAACTGGCAATCCACCTGTCTCCTCCTCCCAAGCCACTAGGATTACAGGCATGGAACACCACGCCCAGTCAGAAGTTATCATTTTATGTTTCCAGAGCAAAGACATTTTTAAGGTGTTGGTCAGTATTTCAAGCCTCTCGATTTTTTATTCTTCTATGTAATTTGCAGGATGTGCCTCTACAAAGGCCATTTCTTTTGGCCCATTTAGTTGTGGCAAAAAGAGCAAATAAGTAGGCCTGGAGAGATGGATGAGAGGAGAAGAGGGTTTTCATTCCTTTCTTTCCTATGTACTTAATAATTGCCATCAGCATTAGTTTGGTTGGGTTCATTCATACTAGCTGTTGGGCTTTGGAGTCCAGTTTGGTTGTCACTAGCAGAACCACCCTCATGTTTTCCAAGGTGTACAAGCAGCAGTTAACCACTGGCCTCTCAGTGATCTGTGTTGTAGCTCTGGGGTTAGTTGAGTGGTTTCCTCTGAATTCCTGAAGAAGCAGTATCAGCTGTTCATGTACCTCCTCCAAGATGTGTGTGCCTGTTCTGCAGGGGGCCTCCCTTTAATCACCTCTACACTAATAAACCCGAATTTTTTGCTGTGATCTCCTGACCCTGGGCATATTTGGTGCTTTCTGAAGTTATCATTCTGATAGGTCGAGTGCTGCAGACACAGGCCTGAATTGGAATTCAGAATGCAAGATGTTTATTAGAGACACAGATTTGGAGAGGCCAGGTAGGATGGAGATGAAGCCAGTGTTTGCACACAAAGAAATTAAGTTGTGTTCAGGTCTTAAAGAAGCTTTAACCCGTGTGGATAAAGACAGTGTAGCAAATGTTGTCTGTCAGATGTTTTACTCCGTGGGCCACAGTGGCAGGGTTCTTCATCCCTGTGTTCTGGTATGAAAGGTATACAGCATTAGTTGTTCTGGACTTCTTCCTTCATTGTTGTTCTGTGTGTTGTTTCCCTGAAGTTCTAAGTTTGATAAGGGTAAGATCTCTGATCCCTGACCACATCTTTTCTGTTACTCTAATAGTGTCTGTAGGCATTACCCATGGAAATCCTTTATGCAATCTGTGTACGGATTAATTCCCTTTGAGAGATGTAGAGCTATTTCGTTTTTGTGCCTTCTTATGTGTCTAGCTCATTAAATTGTGTGTTTCAAGGAATTTGTTCAATTCTCCTGTGATTTCCTATTTGTGGACATAATAGTTTGCTCAGAGTATCCTTTCATTTCCTTTTTTGTCCATAGGAAATATGGTGGCATTTCCTCATTCCTTCCTGATGCTATCTGTTTATACTTTTCAATGTTGTCTCGAAGCAGTTTTGCTAAGGATTTATCAACTTGATTATTCTTTTCAAGGGACCAGTGTTAGGAGCCATCTTTGGGCTGTGTGTGGATGGTTGTGCACAGTAGCCTCCTGAGGGGATAAGTCCTGACATTGGGAACTTTCCAAGGCACTCCCCACAGGATTGACTGCCTGATGCAGGTGAACTTTTCCCCTCAATCTCTGCCAAAGATGCCTGCAGCCAGCATCTGAGATGGGAGTAGCCTGCCAAGATGTTGATCAATCTGTGACTGCAAGACCCCCTGAATTAAAACTCCTCCTTTGATTCCTTATCCCTGCCTTTTATGTACCCCCTTAGGTAAAACACCAGAGCCATTTTTTGTGTAGTTCCAGAAACCATGTGGACTAGATCTATCAGGGGCTTTGCTTTCTGTAAATATATTTCTGAGTGTTTGTACGTTGTTATTAACTAATTGTTTAAGATTGTAAGTTTTAGGGTGGCTTGGATTACCCTGGGCTGGAAGAAAAAACCCTTAATTAGACACTGCCTGTTTTCCCCTCCCCCCATCCCCCCCCCCAGTTATTATGGTGCTCAATGTGGACCTGACCATGTGGATGAAGTTAAAGTAAATAGACACTCGATTAAATGGGGCTTGAACACCCCCAGATTCAGAAGATAAAAATTAAAGCACGCCACACCCACCTCAAAGAAATAGAGGGTGCATCGCAATCTAGAGAGAACTGGGAGGCAGGAAAGTTTGATACCTTGATATAAAACCAAAGCAAAACTCTTCCAGAAAAGAAGTCTATCCACTTAAAAACCTCATTAAAATAAGTTAAGGGAAAAAAGACAATTTATCTACTTTTGAGAATGTTTAAGCAATTTAATCAGAGCTACCCCTCCCCACCCACAACTTCTGCCTTCTATCCGGGCTGAGACAGTAACCCAAAATAGTGACAGTGCCACCTCTGCCTGCCAGTAGTCAGCAAAAGGCAGGGAGAAGAAACTAGAAAAAAGCCCCAGGACGCTGCCACAGAGGGATCCAAAGCAGGGAAGCGCAGGCAGGCAAGCTAAGGGCTTGAGATGCTGACAACTAGGGGAACCCTGGGGGGAAATGGCAGCAGAGTGCTTGCTGGAGGAGCTAAATGCCTAACAGCACCAACTGCTTGCAGAGACCCAGGGCCCAACCAGGAGGGCTCTGAGGATAGCCGAGATGTGGGCGCTCACCCCCGGCCATGGGAGCCAGGCATAATAAGGAAAGGCAAAGCAGCATTGGTGTCTCACGTGACCCAAGGTGAATGGACAGAGTCATAGCTCCGATAATTCCCAGACAGACAAAATTCCACAAAAGCCACTGGCATTGTAACTTCCCATGGGCGAACATGGGTGTCATGAGTGGTTTCACAGACTCAGTCTGAGGCACAGTTAGATTCAGCCAGATCTGTTTCATTAATGGTCATCACATTTCAGGCACACGTCCTAATTCTGAGTCCTAACAGTCTACACCCAAGGATCCCAGATGCTCACCTGTGACGTGTCTTAAATCTGGGTCCCTGGAACTCAATCCTGGCGATCCCTATAGGAGGGGTCTGTTGCAGGGGGGACAACAGCGACAAAAGTCTCTCTGTCTGGGTCCTCTTAGGTCCTGCCGGGCCCCAGAAGGCTGGGATTTTAAGTCCTAGTTCAGTTGTGCTTGCAGCTGATAACTGGGTGACCTCTGGGGTCTATGCCGGGGTGTAGACTCTTAACATCACTCTCCTAGGTCTACCTATGTTCTGCAGCTATATCTTAAGTTTTGCAGTTTACATGTGTACATATGCTTACCGTCTTTATCTAACACACACACTAATATAATCCACAATCAATAGTCCTATATATAATATTTTCTGTACTCATATCAGTGAGAGGCACTCAAGGCAGGACAGCGTACACAGTGGGGACCCCAGAGCTGCAGGCAGAATTTCAGGTGGCATGGAAGGCACAGAAGGGCAGATCTGACAGTGCGGCCAGGGCAGCTAGGGCAACTTGGCGGATACCTTCAAGTCTGAGTAAATAGAAAACAGGTTTACGTATGACTAACTTGGTTATAAATATATAGAACAGTCAATTTAAAAATTTTGAGGCTTCTCCTTAAGAACAAATATTAATGTGCTAATGTAAACCAAACTTTAACCTATACATTGAGATGACAATAACTGCATAAAACATTAATCTACCTCATTCCAATAGAATAATTACTTATGCCTGGTAATTTTATTGTTTAAAAAATAACTAATTTTTAATAAATTAAGATGCATATATTTATACTTAAACAATAACATTATAAGATATAACAATGTATTTTTACTTAAGCAATAATAATATTTTTAAAAAATATTTATTGTTTAGTTGTAGATGGACCCAATATATTTATTTTATTTTTATGTGGTTCTGAGGATGGAACCCAGGGCCTGACGCGTGCTACCTGAGAGCTCTACTGCTGAGCCCCAACCCCAGCCCAATAATTATTTTCAAATACCACCTCAAGTTCCAATTTTCAATCTTTACTTTGGAAGCTAATTTTAATTCATATTAAAACATAAATGATTATGATAATTATTGCTAATTAATTATATATATATAATCTGTTTCCTGAATATGTAAACCCTTAAAACCTAAGGTTTAAAAGAACATTTTGCTAAACTAATGCTCTATAAACTAGTTTCTGACTCATATAAACAATAAAATATCTAATCATGATTTATTCTTCTATAATTATATAAGACTTATATGTTACTGTCTACAATAAGAAGGAAACTTAACTATATATTTAAAAGACAATTGAGAGACACTAACTTATTTAAAGGGTAACATTATAAGGTATAACAATGTATTAAGAGTTTCTCCCTAGAAGGGATTAAATGTTCTCTTAATTTGTCCATGTCATATTCTACATACAAAAATGGATCAACTAGGTTATGTTAACCCAAGGAATTTTATACCAAAGTTTATAGACTTATATTCAAATGAGAAACTAAAATTAATTTCAAGATTAAGACACCTTACTTATCTTTTGACACGAGACCCATTGTTTTAAAAATTAAGAGGTATACATAAAAATCTTATAGGATTTTACTGTCCATGGTTATATCTAAACTGTTTCCTATATATTTAGAAATACATATTTTATATAAAAATAGTTTCATGTTGACATTTTCAAAACTTGTAAAATCTTTTTAAAATTGTTCATTGTTGATACTGTTTTAAAATGTTATGTTTAATGCCAGATTTCTATCATACAGTTCCTTTATGCAAAACCTTATATTAAATATTTGAGTTGATCTTACTACTTAAATACACAGTACTTAAAGATATTCATACAGCTTACATCTTTATACATAAAGATTGTTTTGACACAAATCTCTTATGTCATTGCTGGGTGAATGCCATATAAAGTTCTAATTTTCATAAAAAAATCATTAAATCATTGTCCTAAAATATACTACTGACTTGCTTTTCCCATCAAATTTAAAGTAACGATCCCCCATACTTAGATCAACATTAGATTTAATGA